AAAACTAAAAACTACTTCCAAAAACATTCAGCTTTGATATTAATGAGTTTTTTGGGTTCATTGAGAACATGGTTGTTGTTCAATAATAGAATTATTCCTCAAAAATACAACTTGCCTAATAATTCTGCACTCCCTGTAAAGGAAGCAATAAAGGAAGCATTGAAGCTCCTTTCCTTTGTGTTTGGAGCTTTGGAAGAGCTCTGATTGTTACCAGCATGCAGATACGTACGGGTCACGCCTCCCAGTGAGGAACCTTCCACAACAAAATGGACAATAGGAATGCACCCTTTATTCCCAAAAGCTGATTGGTTGGTTTGATCAGCTTCAAGTATCATCTTGAGAACGACATCATCACCGGAGCGCTGATACAAGGATTCACCATGAAAACGGGAAAAGAGCAGCACCTCCATCTGAATCGAGAGGAGCAGGAGAGTCAGTCCGTTGCACAGATTAGCTGTGCTGGAGCCCTCAGATGCCTCCACCTGTAATCACTGAATCAGCTGACCATCACACAGGTGAGACACACCTGCGGTGTGTGTGTGTGTGTGTGTGCGTGCTATGCTTAGACGCTACCTGTGGACACCGTCCACCAAGACTTACACCTGGGCTCATCAGACGGAGCTCGTGACAGTGCCAGGCAACAGCTGTAAACAGAAAACTGGGGAAAGCCCAGCCGAGGCCCCAGTCCAAGATGGCGGCAGGTTGTTTGTATGGCGTTCTCTGATCCCACCCACTTCTTTGCATCATAACCTCCAATCTTCTTCTGGCTAATCTCTCAGTCTAGATATGAATTTTGTTGAGGCTAAGATGTTACCCACATGGACCATAAAGCCACTGATCTGATCCTCAAACCCTCCTCTCGTGACCGCTCTCACACAGCGTCCTGGAAGTTTAAATAGAAATCACAAAGTTGATTAAAAGGAAAAAAAGAAGAAAAATAATTTGGGAACTTTTTAAATTTGAATCTGGTGTTTTCTTAAAAGAATCTGCTGTGAAAAAGCAGAATGGTCTATTTGATTCACCTTTTATTGTTTATTTTATTTTATTTTCACTTGCTAAATACGGGACAGACTTGACTGGGGAAAAGAAAGAGGGAAAGAAAAACAGCGGGGAAGAGGGACGGGGATAAATAATAATAATAATAATAAATTTTATTTATGAGCGCCTTTCAAGTCACCCAAGGACACTTTACAATAGAATAAAACACTTAGTAAAACAATAGCAGAATAAGAACAATAAAATACAAGCACAAGATAAAATGAACAAACAGTGGATTCACAGTGAGTATGCAGATTTGAACAGATGAGTTTTGAGTTGGGATTTAAACTGGGGGAGAGAACCAGTGTTTCTTACTTCTGGGGGCAGAGAGCTCCACAGCCTGGGGGCAGAGAGCTGAAAGCTCTGCTTCCCATGGTGGTGAGGCGGAAGGAAGGTACAGTAAGCTGGA